TACGCAACTGCATCTGCCACAGTAGATTCCATTAAATAGATCTCATGTCAGTAAGGCCACGAACTGAGAACACGGGGCGAGAATGGATCTCGCGCCACAAGCAAATGATTTCCTAATTTGCTCGCTATTGCTTTACAGTTGGTCCTCTGTCGGGCACACTTGGGCGGTTGTGATCATTGGTCCAAACCAGAATAAACCTTGTCCTTCGCTATGTAAAGAAACCAACTGCGTGAATCACGTCTGAATTGTAAATCAAATCACGTAAGTAGACGCCATTAAAACAACGACTTTTCTCTTTAACATCAGTCGCAGGTTTTTCTTGTCCATCGCTTTCTGTTTTCTTTCTTTTCTTTTTATCGTTCCTTTATGCCTCCTCTCTCTCTCTCTCTCTCTCTCATTTCCTTTCTTTTTTTCTACTTTCTTTTTCTCCTCTTTTTCAGTCTTTACTTTGTTCTGTTTCTTTGTCATTTTTCTCTTTTCATTCTATTTATAGCTCTCTCTCTCTCTCTTTTCTCTCCCTCGCTCTCTCTTTCTGTGTAGTATTCTCTTTACATTATATTTCTCTCTCTCTCTAATCCTCTCTGTATTTTTTCTTTTTCTATTTCTCTCACTTTGAGCTCTCTCTTTTTCTCTGTAAGTTTTCTTTTTCTTTCGACTTCATCTCTTTAAGTTCCTTTCCTCTTCGTATCTTTCTCTTTTCTATTTTTCTCTCTTTAAGTTCTCTCTCTCTCTCTCTCTAAAATTTGTTCTCTTCATCTCTCTCTCTCTCTCTCTCTCTTTGTAGTTGTTTTCTTTTCTTTTTACTTCTCTTTACTTATCACTCTCTTCTCCTTTTGATCGTCATCTCTCCAGTATGTTAACTCCATTGCGCGTTCCTCTTCAATTTCTTCGAATACGTTATTATTCCTTTTTCTCTTCATTTCTATCACCACCCCCTTTCATTTCTAGTTTTCTCGCTTTTCCTCACTCTTCAGGGCATTATCCTCTCAAACGTCTCCTCATTCTATCTCATTCTCCCCCCACGATTTTTTCCCGTCTACAAATCTCTCCCTTACTCTCTTTCTTTAACTCAATCCTCTATCCTTCACATTCTCTTCTCTCTCAAATATGGCCTTCTTTTTCTTTTTCTTCTTGTTCTTCTTCTACTTCTACTTCTTCTTCTTCTTCTTCTTCTTTATATATTTATATATATATATATATATATATATATATATATATATATTGTCTTACTCCCATTATTGTTCAGTGCCATTGTCTTCCTTCTCTTTTTTCTTACTTCATATTCAAACGCAATGAGCCTTAACACAGATTTCTTTCTTTCTTTCTTTCTTTCTTTCTTTCTGTCTTCTTCTGTTTATGTCTTTCCCACTCCTTCTCCCTCTATCTCTCTATCACTCTCTTTCCTTCAGAGCGTCTCGCGAAATCAGTCGAGGTTGTTTTCTCTGCATAAACGCACGACGGCAATTTGTCTTCGAGGATTGGAAGAGTTCCGCTAAATGAGCTTTGGACATTGCAAAGACACACGGACGCACACCGTACAACATCGAAACAAGCCGAACACGCCACACCCACAGGCAAGAAACACATTTTACGATAGAAATTTACCTACCTCTCATTTTCACTGTCTACACACATACACATACACATACACATACATACATATATGTGTTTTTATGTCTCGGATTTAATTTCGATATCAGCCAGGACAGATATGAAGAGAGCGAATAGATAGATATTACAGACATATATGTATACAAATATATATATATGTGTGTGTGTGTGTGTGTGTGTGTGATGAGGGTAAAATTTTATAAAATATCTGTAAAAAGACAATATGAATAAGTTTTTGTTTTTATTCACACACACACACGACCACCTCATATATATATATATATATATATATATATATATATATATATATATATATATATATATATATATGTACACACACATACACACAAACACACACACATATATATATGCAGATTTTGGTTAATCATAAAACAGACTGTCGATGCTTGGTATTGACCTCTGCGTCGACACGCGCTCTTTTTTTTTATATATATATATATATATATATATATATATATATATATATATATATATATATCGACAGCTGTTTCATGCTTAAATGCGATCTTCTATGTCCCAATTGACAACTTTAACCTATAAATATGGCATAACCTAAAACTATATTTTTACCATATATATATATATATACATACACACACATACATATATATATCTTACTTATTATAAAACGCAGATTGTGTGTGTGTTGTGTGTGTGTGTGTGTGTGTGTGTGTGTAACGTTTATATATTGGATCGAATTTCCCTACATTTTTTAGCCGATTTCAACAAAACTTCACAGGACTGCACAAAATTACCTTGTGGTGGTTCTAACGGCGCCGACAATGGGAAAAGCACAATTGTTTTTTAACAAAATCAATTTGAAAACACAATTAAGACACATCGTGAGAATGAAAGGGGACAACTCACCCACGAAAATGTAAACAAAAGAGCATAGCATGATGGAAAAAAAGCCGAACTTGACGAAAACAAAAATTTTATCGTCTAATGTTCATATTATTATTAAAGAGGAAAGATCAAAGTATTTTGGGGGTATTTTTTTACATTTTTAATCGTTCCTAGCACGTCTGAAATTTTCGTTAAAATATTGTTTTTTTTTTAAAAAAAAAGGACAGATAATCAATCATTTTCAATCATTTTTTCGATTTGACAAAAAAGATTAAAATCTGACTTTGATATTCTTTTAAAAATCAATTATCATTTTTCAAAACTGATTTTAATAAAAACAGAAATTATACTGTTTATTTAAAATATTTTGAACCAAGCTTAACTTAGCTTCTGCGCGAAAAAAAAATGTAATTTGAAAATAAAACAAAGCAGGTCATAACCTTTCGCGTCGCTTGACGATTGACGAAAGACACATTCATGACGTTTAGATAACTTACGGAGGATAATTCTTTCTACGGATGGAAGGAAGTGAAATTATTTAAGTGAACAAATTATTTACCTCGTTACTTTTAAGGAAAACTTTCAGCGCTCTAATTTTTATTTTTATTTATTTTTTTTTTTGAACTTAGCTTTCATTTTTACGTTTACGATGCTTTATGGAAAATATAAAGAAATTAAAAAATAAGACTGTTAATAGTGAGATTAAATTTCATAAGAAAAAAGGTATCTAATTAATTTAGGTACCTTTCTCATGAAATTTTATCAAAAAAGTGTACATAAAATACTATAATTTTATGTACATTTATTACATTTTACTGTGTTATTTGTATTTCCATTCATTTTATTATTAATTTTGATATTTCATTTATGGAAAAATGTCATAACTGAGATTAATATAAAAATAAGATCATATAAATTAAAGTTTAGCAGTAGTTAAATTTCATAAGATGATACTGTTACTTGTAGGTACGCTTCTCAGTTGAAATTGAAAACTCAAATTAAATTCTCCATACGTGTTTCGCAAAAGTAAAGGGCTTAACAGCGGAGAACAATGCTGAACTCAAATAATGCAACTAAATTGTATTCTGATTGGTCTTCCGTACTTGATAATTACTGTCCGACTATAAACACAAAAATTACATTTCTTAATTACCATGGCTAATCTGATTGGTCCAAATTATACAATTTTCAAAGCGCTAGACAATGACAATCTCACACGGACATTTTAAAAGGTTGAAGTTGCTTTTAACTAATGTTAAAATATTTTTAAAAATTCAATTTAAAAATTTTTTTAAAATCTTTTTAAAATTAAAGAAATAAGAAATAATTGTATTAAAAATTCAATTTTCATTGAAAAAATTTTTTGCTTTCAGAAAATATTGTCCATATTCATAAAAACAAATTAAAACAAATAAAAGCATTTGAAACTAAATAATATATTTGTTTTATTGAGTTTTGTATGTTACAATTCACAGCTGATTTTCAGGTACGTTGGCCAAATAAAAAAAAATAAAAACATGATTTGCATTCTTCAAAGCCTTGTGCTTTTAACTATTATAATCACTAAAACCGATGGTGTTGAATTTCTAGAGTTTTTCATAAAATTAGTTATGAGGGTGATAATAAATATAAAAAAATATTTCTGCCATGACTTTAATAAAAAAAAACATATTTATAATAATTTCGATCATCTGTGAATAGTTTCTGAAAGTTTCATTAACATCTGACAATATTTTTATTTTTGCAAGATTTTCCAAATTAATATGTGTAAATACAAAAAAAAAACGCGCTAAAAATTATCTTTGTTGCGACAAAGAGAAACAAGGTTTTTTAAATCAAAATTTAGAATATTCTAAAAAGATGGAAAAAATTTTTAAAATAATTAAAAAAAAATTTAGTCTATCCTCTTCATAAAAAACATAAGCATTTTGACGATAAAATTTTGTTTTCATAAACTTTGGCGTCTTTTTCATCAGACTATGCTCTATGTTTTAGCGATTCCGTGGAGTGACTTAGGTTAAAAACCCAGGTTGTTTGTTTTGTGTGTGTGTGTGTGTCTGTTTTCCTTTATATATGGGATCGGATTTCTTACATTTTTCAGCCGATAAAACAAACATCCACTTTTTTTTTTGGCAGGTAGTGTTCCTTATTGTCTTGCGCACTTTTTTCTTTATTTATACATTCAGAATGCTTTAAAAATTTCATTTACAAGACAATTGTTTGTAATAAAATTTTAATTCTATTCAATCGGGGGACTCATCATAACGATTGAAAACAATGTTTTTGTTTGAATTTGGGTTTGACCAATTCGTAAAAAAAAACAAACTAAGACATGCGTGTCCGTCAACCTAAACAAGAATCTAACGATCTCTACTGATTGTACGAATCCAAACATCGGATAATTCTTTATCTTTAGGGAAAGATAATTCCACGTACTTTAGGGTCGTTTTTTCAATTCCCTTTGCAATTTGTTACAAGCCAGATCAATAAAGCATTGGTTCTATTTGAAATTAATTCAATATTTAAAAGAAAGTATTAAGAAATAATTTAAAAATGCCGACGTAAGAAATCTGATAGACAAAAAACAACAATATTTCGAAGATGATAATTATTAAGGAAAGAACACAGTACTTGTAATAAATTAATAAACCCAAATAAAGTTAATATTTTTTGCATTAGAAACAACGAGTGGAAAATATATTCAAATCAGAATTCTAATTATGAATCACCACAAGCAAAATATGCAATTTTTTTTACTGTATTCAATAAGTAAAAATCATAAATTGTAAAAGATTACAAAGAAAGGCTACCTACATTTTTCAACCGATTTCAACAAAACTTCACTTTTTTTGGCAGATAGTGTTTCTTATTGTCTTGCACACTTTTTTCTTTATTTTTACATTCAGAATGCTTTAAAAATTCCATTTACAAGACAATTATTTATAATAAAATCCTATTCACCAATAGATAGACTCATAACGATTGTAAACTATGTTTTTGTTTGAATTTGAGTTTGACCAATTCGTAAAAAAAAAAAAACAAACTAATTAAGACATGCGTGTCCATCAACCTTAAACAATAATCTTTGTCAATTTTATTTTTCAGTCTTTATGATGGTCGATACTTGATCTATCTCTTACTGTTACATCCCCAGGCAACGCCGGGCTCTACTGCTAGTATATATATATATATATATATATATATATATATATATATATATATATATATATATATAACTTGTAAAAATGTCCCCACCTACAGAACTCGTTTCAGTATAAGACTCTAACATACCAAAATCTTCTTCAACTTTGGAGGTCCGGATTTAAATACGTTCGGTGATCCGATGCGCTTAACAAATAAGGAATCAGTCACATGTCCCGACTTCATCACAAAATATGACACCGTGTTTGAAAAATGTTTGAATATATGACTGATGAAATGTAAACCTATCCCGGGTCTTGACGATGGCCAGAAACCCAGCCGTGAACGATCCACCGCTAACATTCAGATTCTACTTTCATTGAACGCATATGTATGCACTCTTTTCTGCGCAAACAGGAAAATGGAATAAGAAAAAAAATTATGTTTTTGTCTGTTATTTTAATGAAACATTTTTTAATAAAACGAAAAAAAAGATACCTAAATACATGTTATCCCGTGATACATACTTTTTTAGATTAAAATATTTGGTTGAACAAATAGAAGACCCGATTGTAGAAGTTGTAAGAAGTTATTTACATTATCCAATTAATTGTGATTAATTTACATTAGAAAAATTATTAGACGAAATTTATTGACTTAAAATGTTTTAGAATTTATTGTTAATTCATTTGAAATTGCGTATGTTTTTCTCTCTAATTTGCCAGTAAGTGTTGATCAGTTAAGGAACAATTTAAATAAGGAAAGGATTTCAAGGGATCGAGATGCAGCTCTTTTAGTGAATGTTGGAATTACCATGACCAGAACATGTGATAAACAAGGAAGTATTACGTCGAATTTAATGTACAAAAAATGTTGATAACAAAAAGAGAGAGCTATAAATGTCTATATATATATATATATATATATATATATATATATATATATATATATATATATCGCTCTCTTTCTCCCTCTCTCCCTCATCTATATATATATATATATATATATATATATATATATATATATATATATACTACCCCCGAAACCCAAGACTTAAGCCAAACCTTGGGTCCCGGGTAGTGCTCTGTGATCCTCACAATCTTATCAACATTTACTTTTCTTCTCCCTACATTTATATACGTTACAAATTAAACTCACCACAAATGATTATTAAGAGGATGGAATATGTCCGCGGATTCAAAAATCATCCTTGGGGAGGGGGGGTTGCACTAATCATGAAATTTGTTTGTTCATGCTAAGATTCCAAGAAACACTGTATAAAATTCACCATTTTAGCCATAATGTTGAATGTGTTGGAATTATTCGAATTTCGAATAAGAAAAATTTCGAGTTAATGTTAAAAATTTCCGCAAAATATTGTTGATTTATTTAAAATGGAATGAGCTAATATGACTTAACTTATATATATATATATTATAATAATTTTTTTAAAAATATGATTTCATCGCTACACAGGAATTACCATGTTTCAAAAACAGAAACTAAAACTTCCAATTCAATTATAGAAATTAAATTAAATTAAAGTACCTGAATGCAACAGAACTAGGTACTTTAATTTAATTTTAAAAAACGCACCTTGTCTGTCGTTTTCAATGAAATGTGCATGAAAAGAAGGATTGCTGCCTTAATACTAAAAATATATATATATATATATATATATATATATATATATATATATATATATATATATATATATATTATTATTATTATTATTGTTCTTAGCTAAGTGCCAATATATCCGTTAACTTTATCGTTGATGTAAGAAGTATTTTTAAATGCTACAAACATTAGATACAAGAAAGTCAGAATTCTGATGAAATGTGGACAGGGAAAAGTATTATACAAATGACACGACAAACACATTCGCATCCTAATACCCAAACATGTAAATATAACTAAATATATAAGCACGCAAATATAAGAACGACAACAGGAAATAGAAGAAGAAAAGGAAATAAAGAAAGAAAAACAAAGAAAAGGAAAAAAGAAAAAATTCAATAAAGGAAAATAAAAATAAAGACTAAAAAGAGGATAAAAAGAAAAAAGAATAAGAACAAAAAACAAAAAAGCAAACGAAAATTCTATCAAACACAAGCATTTACAAATAAAAGCAAATACAAGCAGTTAAAAACCTGTACCTATGTAGAAATAAACAAACATTACAATAATAAAACGATACAAAACCAACGATCAAAATATTACAATTTGAAATCGTCGAAAGTACATGGCATGTGTCTTCCATCTGACAACAACTCGAATATTATATCTGTCTATATTTCTGAGATGAGGTATTATGTACATTATTTACATTATTCGGACTCTTGTCCCCATCTTTGTCGCCATATTTATTACAACGTTTCCGCCGTTGTACGCCCCGGCCTTCTTTAGCTAGCACATGGCACAGTGGGTAAAGGCGTTGGCTTATGGAGGGAAATTAACAGGAGATAACTGACATCCATTAAACATGGCACGTGGAACTAGAACAGTCTACCCCGAAATAAATGGTTAAGTTCAACATTCCAACCACCTGAAGAAGGCCGGAGTGTACAACGGCCGAAACGTTGTAATATGGCGACAAAGATGAGGACAATAGTCCGAATAATGTAAATAGTGTACATAATACCTCATCTCAGAAATATAGACAGATACTGAAAGGCCGAAATGTAATAAATATGGCAACAAAGATGAGGACAATAGTCCGAATAATGTAAATAGTGTACATAATACCTCATCTCAGAAATATAGACAGATAAAAAAAAGGCCGAAACGTTGTAATGAATATGGCAACAAATATGAGGACAATAGTCCGAATAATGTAAATAGTGTACATAATACCTCATCTCAGAAATATAGACAGATACTGAAAGGCCGAAACGTTGTAATAAATATGGCAACAAAGATGAGGACAATAGTCTGAATAATGTAAATAGTGTACATAATACCTCATCTCAGAAATATAGAAAGATACTGAAAGACCGAAACGTTGTAATAAATATGGCAACAAAGATGAGGACAATAGTCCGAATAATGTAAATAGTGTACATAATACCTCATCTCAGAAATATAGACAGATACTGAATGGCCGAAACATTGTAATAAATATGGCGACAAAGATGAGGACAATAGTCCGAATAATGTCAATAATGTCGAATATTATATTATTCAAGGAATTGTTAGTAAGTTAATGTCTCATTAAGTCCTGTTAGCGAAGAGATATCGCTATTAATCACATTACCATTGCTATTTAATTCTTTGTATAAATTGGTTCTTTATAATATAATATATATGTATGTGTATAATATATGTGTCTGTGTCTCACCCCCCCAGCAAGGCAGTAAAGCCACTAAGACACAAGGGGGGGGGTTATTCACTATGAAATAATAAGAAAAAGAGAACATTACGATGAAGCGAAAACAATAAAAGAACGGGAGGAGATAACGATTGACATTGCATTTAAACTTTTAAATATCAAAGTTGTTTGGAAAGCAGAAATCTAGAAGAAAATTCTAGAGAATTACAAGAATTACTAGAATTACAAGAAAAAAAAAACTGTTAGCATAAGACCATGCCGCCAGTCTAGTACTGCACTTAAATTCATAAAGTCTAGGTATCAAAGGGGAAAGGACATCAGAACAATTACCATGAAAGTATTTATAGAAAAGGCACAGAGAAGCTACATTACGGTGGTCTTAAAGAGACTGATACCGGGATGCCAGGTCAAAACCAATAACATTGCATATTCTTTATTAGATTTTATCAAGATATATAGCAGGAGCACCAAACCATATGTGGCAGCAATATTCGAAGCATGGATGAATGGTAGACTTATAGATATATAAGATAGATTCTGGAGAGAAAAATGGTCTCGCAGAGTGAAACATAAACAGGATTTATCGAACATTTAGATCAATAAATATACTTTATATATATATATATATATGTGTGTGTGTGTGTGTGTGATGGACTCTCCTGTCGATTTCGACGCATGAGGATCCGACAACCTCATTCCGTTTTTATGTTTGTGCTGTATTTGAAACTTCAATCCCACTCGTGACCTGCATACAAGCCCACATATTGTGCAACAGCGAGGATCTTGGAACATAACAACAAAAAATATTTGCTGAGGTTTTACACCGTTGTCTTTCGTCACTTAGACGGTCAGTACGACTGAATTTTAAAATTTCGGGTGTCACACTGGCACAAATATCTCTGTCCAAGGTAAATAGCTCAAAGTTGATATGAGGCACAGTGACAGCTGAGGGCTTACTCTTTAGATTATTTTTTTATACTTTAGCCACGACCGTCCTCCACTCCTTTGTCTGTTGTAAAGCTGGCTATACATGAGGACCTTAGGTATTCTGTCCTCACTCATTGTTGTAACATGACCAGACAAGCGAAGTTGTGATTGCATCAGGAAAGTCTCAATGTTGCGTTTTGCGAGATCAACATTTGACACCCTATAGTAAAAATGTATGGCCACAGATCGCACTGGAGATAACTTTTGTGGAAGACATACAACTGAATGATATGAGGCCGATATGGGGTCCATGATTCTGAGTCAGTCAAAACGGCTGCCTTGTAAACCTGTATTTTGTTGTTCAATTTGATACTTTTCTCCTTCCATAGGTGGTGGCGAAGCTTCCCAAATGCATTTGTAGCTTTGGCGATCCGATTTGCGTGGCTTTGGCGTCTCCAATTTCTAATTTGCATGTTGTCCTGTTCCTTTCACTGCCATCCATACATTGTCTTCTTACAATTGATATTTAGTCCTTTCTTCTCTCTTTCCTTTACTATCTTCTCTGGAAATTCCTGTCGTTTTTTTTTTCTATGAGAATGTATTGCTGGTATTTTTACTATAAAAATGTTTGTACTTTCATAGTTTTTGGCCCCAGTTTGTGGGTGAACTATTTGCTCATAGTTGGGACCCTAACAGGTGCTGCCACCCCATATCAGAATGCACCTGTGAACAACAGCAGTTAAGAGGTGGTACGATGCTTCTCAAAATTTCCAATCACGCAATCAGAGGCCTTGTGCTGGATGTAGTCTATCGTCATACTCAGGACGTGCTGAATATTGGGCTACAAAATAATTATCTCTCCTTACATGCAAAATGTCATGTAACAGTTCTGTAAGAACGACAAAATACAACCAACTCTCAGGCTAGACAGATGCCCATTTTAATATTTCTTGAGAGATACCGTCACAACATGGATATCTCTGGTGAAACGCTGTAACGTTCAAGTCAGATTTTGTTTTTTCTTTATTAGTATTTCTCCTTGTTTATTTTTCCTAATATGTGATAACTTACTTGGCAACGTGGACAACTTGTATTTTGTCTTAGAGCTCTATAATTGTGCGTAAATGTTGTGACACTATTTAGCGATTGCATGAAAATTAAAAGCGAGAAATAATTAAGGCGAGAAGAAGCTATCACGAAAGACATACTGAGCGATGTTATTTTTTTAACAAAGAAAAGTGGTAAAGATTTTATTTCAATTTGCGAAGAAAAGTATTTTTTTTCGCAGAAGATAGGAAATTCGTAAGATCTCGGATCTGTCGGAATTAATTTATGCTACGACGCGGCGAATAAAAGATAGCAATCGGCCCATGGCAATAATGAACATTTCAAATTGGTCAAGTGGCCTACGATACAGAAGCTGGAAGATAATCGTAATCAGGTCACGCACTGATCGAGAAAGGCATCAGCTGTGGCCACCCCAGAGAGAAAGGGAAAGAATAAACCCTTAACTATCTTTCGGAGATATCATTTGTTTTTGGAAAGAGACCACCTGTTTTATTGTCCAGACCTGGACATGATAAAAGTTTGTTACCGGGACAGATAATTGGCGACAGGGTGCGAAGACGTCCACCCATTTGACGCTGGCGAAAATCTCGATTGATAAATTCCAGATGACATTCGGTTAAGATAGAGATTAAGGACCACGCCACGAGTCGTAGGGGTCTGGTGTAGGAAAAGAAAGAAAAGAAAAAAGGAAGATAATTTTTTTTTTCCTTTGAGCGATAATTTTAAACTGAGACGAAGACTAGCCACACCCACGCTGCTGAGCTTTCATTGGCTGAATGGTGGCGTGAGCAATGGGCGAAGGTAAACATATGAGAAGGAGGGGAGGCCTGTTGACGCCTCTGAGGGGATTGGTGTGAGATACCACTGTGAGAGAGAAGGAAAACCTGTTGACGCCTTCTGAGGGGATTGGTGTGAGATACCAATATGAGATAGGAAGAATTTGGGAGGACGATTCCCTTAAGAACCCCTCTAAAGCAGAAAGTAATGGACTTCCAAAAATGGAAAGTGATAAATTTTTCTGTCCGAAAACAAAGAAAATCCTTATTGTGGATTTAGAATTATCCAGGAACTCAAACCCCGACAGGCCCACACCCGGTTTTGGTCGGTGTCCATATATACAGAGTCGCAGCGAGTAGAAACCGGTTGGAGTTGGAGAGTGGCAGAGTTCCGAAGAGACGCAGACGCAGACAGAGTTGAGCTGTGAGCTCTGAGACCAGCCTCGCAGGAAGCTGACTGAAGATCCACGCATTCCGACTTCGACTTCTAACCAAGAACAATTTATTTTTGAAGAACGGCTTAGACTCACACCACCAAAACAAGTTTTACGAATATCACCTGAAGATACAAAAAACTAGTTATCGAAAAACAACTTAAGATATTAAGACTCGCCTAACAAACGCAAAGTGTCACGTATCCATAGAAGCGGTTTGGGAGAAAGATGCAGTCCTGTATTGAGCAACCAGATATAAAAAATATTTGTTATTCTTTTTTTAACACATTTGAACTTTTCGAGTTGTTACTTTATTTTCTTTTACATATACTTGGGCGGTGTCACCTTTGCTCGAGTTCGGCTTGCATTGCTGCCCGGCGACTACCTAAGATCAAATCACAACGTGGGTAGGTTAGATTAGAAATCAAAGCAGTTACTTCGGTAACCAGACGTTGGAGGCGAGCTGTGAACGACAAAGCTGATACCGAATCCAACCAGATTCCCATCCGAATCAGCCAAGGGTTAGAACGTCACATTTGGCGCCGCGACCAATACCAAGTCACATTGGTCGTCACAGGATAGCACGGGGGCAGAGAGGCAAGGGGTGACGTCACATTTGGTGCCGTGACACCAGGATCACGTCACATTTGGTGCCGTGACAACAGGATCACGTCACAATGTTGTATTTGGCACATAACATGGAATCCTTCTTAATCTTTATTAATATAACATTCGAATGTTAGTTCAGCAAATAGGCTCTACAAGAGTAAAGACTTCCTGGTGCTGTTTACGTGTTTTATCATAGGAGCTTTCGGTTGCGCATATATTAGGAGACAAAAATCACTACTCAGTTGACTCGGAATAACTCGGCCTCATCCATTGTGAAGTATGAAGTTATCGACAGTTCAATGCCAAATCTTAGATTCCGCCATTTATCATATCCAACATCCTATTGAAGATGTCTCCACCGTAACCCTGGCAGGTGTGGCATCCATGTCGTCTACCTTGTTGTCCGGCTTTGAATTCAGATTTGTCCTTCTCATAGATTGGTTGGCAACCACGGCTAGAATCTTTGGAAAGCCTTTTTCATGGTTTTGAATTTAGATTAGACTATCTGCCACTCAAAGCTAGAAAAAATCAGTCTACCCTACTATCTAACCCATAGCTTAGGAGAGAAGAGATGGAGGGTATTTACGAGAGTTAATCTAATGAGCTAAACTGGAATTCGAACCCGGCCCTCGAAGTTCAAATTACCAACTGCTATCTATTACACCACCCGCACATTAGCAAATACGAGTTAAGGATTGTTGAGTGTAATCTTCACCAATTCTAACACAAAAAAATAATCATACTTCCTAAAGACTTATCAAATAATCCAAAATCAAAGTAAAAAAAAAAGACATCTTTGTTGGCCTGAGAACCTTTCAGCTCTCGTATTGGGGATCAACTATGTATGTATTTGTTGTTATACAACATGCCGTCATTGATGTGAGACTAATGTGACAGTTAACGTGTCTGGAAGGTAAAATCAGCGAGCCGCTTGTTGACTTTATTCTCGCACTAATGCCCTTGGAATAGGCATGAATAGATCTCTTCTACTACAGCTATGAGTTAAATAGCGGAGTAGGCTGAATTTCCTAACCTTGGGTGGCAACTAACCTAGAAGTACAAAACCGTGAAGAAAACAACGGAAAAATAAGAAAGAAAGAAATTCATGGAGAGCTATGATTACATATGGCCTAAAGAGTAATGACATTTAAAAAATAAAAAAGCCACAATTATACGGCACCCATTGAGAACTGAACTCACTACTAATGATCAACTAGACTATTTGTTTATCCCACGTTCTGGTGTCCCAACATAGTAAGTGTAGCTTAATTTGGGCATACGGCCACAAATTATAGGGCACCCAGTGAGGATCGAACTCATTATTCAGTATTACCGACTGGCTCACTAACCATTGCCTCGTCGACTGAGATTGATTGAAATAAAGTGAAATAGACTGGAATAGATAGATAGATAGATAGATAGATAGATAGATAGATAGATAGATAGATAGACCGAGAAAGAAAGATTCGATTAATAGATAGAAATAGTCAAAGAAAGAAAGAAAGAAAGAGAGAGAGAGAGAAAGAAAGAAAGAAAGAAAGAAAGAAAGAAAGAGAGAGAGAAAGAAAAGAAAGAAAATTAGATATATAGATAGAATTAAACTGAGTAAGAAAGAAAGAAGGACAAATTGAAAATCATATAAACAGATAGAAATAGATCGAGAAAGAAAGAAAAAAATGAAGAAAATTAAATCAATAGATTGAAAATAACCGAGATATATTGATAGATAGATATAAACAGATTTGTTTTTCATTTTAATCAGCGACATTAAAGAGTGCAATCACCGATTTTAGAAGAAAGGCAACCAAAAGCGACAGAATTGCTTTCATTGTATACATTCGCTTGCATCGAACCAATTAATTGCCTTTGTGAACTTTGACGAGAGACGCTCGAAAGATAATATGTTTATTCAAACATCGACAAATCAAATTAGTTTACTTATGTTTTTCACTTCAAAAGTGACGTGAATATGACAGATTAAATCAATCATACATTAACATTAAAATGCAGATGTAAAAATATCTAACACATAAAAGCAAAAGCTCAAAAGTAACCGTATACTGTGTTATAAATTTATCTATGATAGCTCTATTCTCTCTGTATTCTGTTTTAATTCCTGATTATCGATAATCCCTTCATTATCAGGGATTTTCGAATATCATACTGACTTGTTTCTGAAATTGGATGAAATCAATTTTGAGTAAAATTCACAAAATTCTGTGCTTAAACCATAATAATAATTAAATATTTCTTTTTCTTTTTAGGTCCCTTTTCCTTTCAGGATGTTGGCAATCATGGATCTCCATCTCCCTCTATCCCTTGCAGCTCTCATCAAGTTCCTTCCTTTGCCACCGCGTCGTTTTTCCTTTGTCTCTCTTTCCCTCTATTCGACCCGTGAGTATCAGATTCTCCAGGTCCTTCTGCCTCATTATGTATCCTAGAAACTTCAGCTTCCTCTTCATGATCTAAAGTAAAAGCCTCCTCTTTGTTTGCAACCTCTCAATGACCTCATCGTTGCTCAAACGCTCGGCCCTTAGCATCCTTCTGTAGAACCACATCTCCGTCGCCTCGAGTCTCTTCTTCATCTTTGAGGAAATCGTCCAACATTTGCTGCCGTAAAGAAGAACAGATGTCACGTAACAGTTCAGGATTCTTTTCTTTGTTACCAAAGAAATCCTGCTGTCTCTCAATCCTTTGCCCAGCTTTTGGAATGCGTCCTTGGCCATCCCAATACGTCTACGGATCTCAGTGTCGCACTTAGCATCCTCTGTCAAGACGCTTCCCAGATGTTTCAACTTCCGCGTCTGCTTGATTCTAGTGTTCCCCACCTGCAAATCGCATTCCGGGCTCATCCCTTTATTGATGATCATGTATTCTGTCTTCTTGTAGTTTATGCTTAGTCCCTTCTTCACACTCTCCGTTGCTATCTTCTGTAGGAGATTTTGTAATTTCTTTTCTGTGTCTGCTATCACTACTGTGTCATCTGCGTATCCTATGTTTTTTAAGATTGTGGCCGACCTACGGCAAACATATTGCATTTCTTAGTGCAGAATATTCTCTCATTTCCCAGAAGGCCGACATTTTGATTACTGGAATTGTTCTTAGTCACCTCCCGAAAATAATAAGAAACAAGCCAGGCAATATTTTGGTTATTTTAAACATTTTACAATTCAAACTGTGGAAATACATTCATGTTAGTTCAGGGGTTTATAATTTTAAACGTCAGTAAAATTCTGAATATATTGGCAGAACTAATCAGAGAATAGAAATATACAAATACACGTATCAGCTAAGATCCGTCACGGACAATATGAAAGTACGCTCGTTAATACGTCCGGTCCTGCGATTGCAGAAAAGAACAACAAATAATTTGATTTATGTTGCATATTTTACGAGAGATTTTTGTAATGTTTATCAGCAGAGCACATTTTGCTTACCATTTGAAATTGTCTGAGAACCTCTATATTAAATCTAAGAAAGCTTCTTTCTATAAAAGCGCAATCTGTCTGTGATTCGTAGTGCAGATAATTTCGTAGATTTTCTCCTCTTCTCTATGATTTTAATCGTTTTTTTTTTCGCGTATTTATGTTTTATCTTCGATTGAACTCTGAAGAGCTATAACCGGTTAGCTTTGTTGCTGTTGTTTCGTTATAATTTTTAAATGTTTTTTGATCAAGTATTTTAAAGTGAGTCATATTTCTTTTTCCTTATCCTTGCTCTCCCCGCCATCCGTTTGTTTTTATATATTTTGTATATACTATACGAATATACTGCTTTAAAATGTTCATTTTTAGAGTCCACATAAAATTGTGTAACTTTCACAGATTATTTACAATCAACTGTTTTCTACAATTAGGAATCCATTCCTATTATGATTAAATCTATTACGAATATCTTTTTACCTAATTCTATTATTAAACACTTCTTGAGTGTCAATACACCAACTGCATACAGCGCCGAGCAATATGACCGACCCCAAAGTAGATACTTGCAGATTCGAGAACAAACTCGACCTATGTCTACTTTTTTGTCTCAAGTGTTAATTGGATTTATGCCTGTCGAGTTAATTTTCGTGATTTCGTCTTGTAAGACGCTCTCAATATTAAATAACCCAATGAGGCTTAATATCTCGTTAACATAACCAAACTAAAACATAAATCTTCAATAGTTTTTGTAACAGTATTATTTACATTGTTTACATTATGTTTATATTTACATTGCTTACACCATGTTTATAGCTACATTGTTTACATTATGCTTATTGTTTACATTACGTTTATATTTACAGTGTCTTATTGTTTACATTATGTTAATATTTGCATTGTTTGCATTAATCTTATTGTTTACATTGTCTTCATTACGTTTATACTTACATTGTTTACGTTAGATTTATTATTTACATCGTTTACGATCAGACTACTGTTTTCATTTTTGCTCTTCAAATAGAATATTCTCCTCATCTTTGTTGTTCTCACCACAACGTTGTGCTACCCCCCACCCGCTTCCAGACTTCATTAAATGCCTGTCGATCCGGATAACCTAAGGAGTATTTCGAACTGAACCTTAATCTACGAGGCGGGGATTCGGTTGCTTTTGTTCCTATGACCATGTCAAGGAATATATTGTTTAGTTCTTATTTAGTAATGCTCAGTTATTGTTACACTACCTTGCACAGGGATTGAACTCAGAATTTAATCCACCAGGAAAGCGTTTTTTTTTTTAATATGTACACCCTGACGCACTAACGTGGCCCGGAGCCAGGTGTGTTATAATTTAACAGAAGAATAATGGACGGATTATTTTTCTCGTCAGATTCGACCCTGCACGTTTACAAACCATTGAACTAGAACTATTTCTATCATTTGTTCATACCATTTATTCTATATTAGTCAGCTTAGAATGTTCACGCATCTTCGGTTGAGGCTATTATCTTTTATTCTATCATGCCTTCATTTGGCGCTAAGGTAAAGCAGTCAGACAGTCACTTGTCACACCAACCTACGTGCATCAACGACCCTTTGAATATACCTTTTCAAATACCTAGTAAAAGATCTAGTGAGCGGTCTTTGATTTTAAGCTGCTGGGATAAACCCTTCTTTTTGTTTTTTCACCGTTGATGGGTCAGATTTCTTTTCAATATCACGGTCTTATTCTTGCAAAGAGTATCGGCCATGCAAAGATCTTTCTTGCCGCTTGATTATCATGTATGTCAAGACCACTCTATTTTTTTATTTGGATATTATAGTTGACTAGCAGTAGAGCCCGGCGTTGCCCGGGGATGTAACAGTAAGAGATAGATCAAGTATCGACCATCATAAAGACTGAAAAATAAAATTGATAAAGTTTATTGTTTAAGGTTGACGGAAACACATGTCTGAATTAGTTTTTTTTTTACGAATTGGTCAAAGCCAAATTCAAACATTGTTTTCAATCGTTATGAGTCTATCGTTTGGTGAATAGAATTTTATTATAAACAATTGTCTTGTAAATGGAATTTTTAAAGCATTCTGAATGTAAAAATAAAGAAAAAAGTGTGCAAGACAATAAGAAACACTACCTGCTAAAAAAAGTGAAGTTTTGTTGAAATCGGTTGAAAAATATAGGAAATCCGATCCCATATATAAGCAAACACACACACACAAACAACCAACCTGGGTTTTATAATAAGTATAACTGGATAACTCGATATTAATAAGTATAACTCGATATGAGTTGTCTCCCTTTTAATGCCTCTTAATCGTGTTTTCAAATTGATTTCGTGCAAAAACAATTGTGTTTTTCCAATTTTTGGCGCTGTCGGAACCACCGCAAGGTAATTTTACGTAGTCCTGTGAAGTTTTGTTGAAATCGGTTGAAAAATGTAGGAAATCCGATCCAATATATAAACGTACAGACACACACACACAACCTGCGTTTTATAAGTAAGATTCATGATGACAAAGAAACTGTAACATGGAGTGTCATTCATCATGTTCTAGATATTTTTCAGTCCTGTGATTTTGATCTGTTTCAGTTCCAATTGGATCAATGTTCTATGTTTCAAAGGTATGCTCGAATAATGTACATTTGCTGCAGTTTATAAAAGGTTTGAAGTTTTCAGGTTTTTATATTTATTCTTCAAGATTCCAATTGATGACATTAAAAGAATATGCCACATATTGCATTGCTTAGTTTTTAAGAACTTCCGTTTTATCCGATGTATTTAGTTTTTTGGGTTTTTTTTTTTAGGGGGGTTATACATTATTTACATTATTCGGACTATTGACCTCATCTTTGTCGCCATATTTATTACAACGTTTCGGCCTTCTTCAGATGGTTGGAATGTCGAACTGAACCCTTTATTTCACTGACTGGGGTAGACTGTTCTAGTTCCACGTGCCATGTCAAATGCATGTCAGTTATCAGTTATCTCCTGTTAATTCACCTCTCCAAGCTCTCCACTGCCTTAACTGGGTATTGAACTCACACTCTTTGGGTCCTGTCACTGGATCTAACCAACGCCTTTATCCACTGTGCCATGTGTCCTTGAGGCCGGAGCGTAAAACGGCTGAAACGTTGTAATAAATATGGCGACAGATGAGGACAGTAGTCCGAATAATGTAAATAGTGAACATAATACCTCATCTCAGAAATATAGACAGATATTGTTTTTTTCTTTAATATTCTCATATAGCTAAGATATTACTTTTTCGTTATTTCCTTCCTTGTGGCTTTATTGGATAATTTGTCCTTCTTTGGTTCCATTATATTTGC